CGACTTGATTGGACGGACCAAATTTTAGACATGAGATTTTTATGCAATATACTTAATTATTTTATTTTATTTATTTTGGAATTTGCATTCGAAATCCACTTGGCTCAACAATCTGAGGGGACATGATTAAATGGGCATGATGCTTCTGAAAGGAAGATGATAACGTGTCTACCAGGTGAAATTAAGCATTACAGCAACTGCTTACAGAATACAGAGATTACACTGAAACATATGTTCTGGTTATAGAATAAGTGTAGATGTCGTCTTACTTGTTCCACATGCTCATGCTCATTGGGCGTGAGAGTGATGGCCACTTCCTCCTTGTTTAAAGTCCCGTTGGGCTTCTCAATCCTGGGGTCAGATTTGGGCTTTCGGCTGAAGAAGCTGAGAAAACTGAGGGACTGTGACTGCTGCTTGGGTCTCTTCATTGTACAGAGCTGGACAGCCCAGCTAAAACAGCATGAGAGGATCGGGCCCCTTTTGTTTGTGTGTCTTTGTTTGTTGTTTATGGTCTGACACTGAACATTGGCAAAGAGAACATTGTGAGGAATTACGAAAATCGGCCACAACAGAGTTCCCTGATCAAGTTCATCATTGTTTTCTTCTCTCATGAAATGTTTTCTGTTCATCAAATGCTCATCCCTGAAAAGAACAACGAACAGAATTAGGAGATGCAAAAGTTAAGACCGTTGCAGAAAACATCTCTCAGTGCACATCCATTTAAAGCTTTGGGGTCAGTAAGATTTTTTAATGTTTTTGAAATGAGTTTCTTATGCTCAGCAAGGCTGCATTTATTTGCATTTAAACAGTTATACAGTGAAATATTAATACAATTTACAAAAAACTCTGTGTTTTAATATTTTTTCAAATGTATCCCTAATGTTCAGCATCATTACGCCAGTCTTCAGTGTCACATGATCCTTCAGAAATCATTCTAATATGATGATTTGCTGCTCAAGAAACATTTATTAATGTTGAAAACAGTTGTGCTGAATATTTTTGTGGAAACTGTGATGCATTTTTTCAGCATTCTTTGATGCATAGAAAGTTCAAAAATTACAAATATAAATTTTGTGTAATGTTCTGTCACTTTTTATCAATTTTAATGTTCCTTGCTAAATAAACATAAATTTCTTTAAACAAATCCTAGATTGTGAACACACAAAAAGCCATGTTATTAAAGTTTTAAAATATATTTCTCAAGATAAAAAAGATATAAAAAGATTTTTTACCAATATCATCAATTATTAATTCAGAAGTATTATTCATTTTTGAGGAATTTGACATTTTACAACCTGAACTAGTCTACATCCTAAATACGTTTATCATGGAAGAAGTGGCTGTATTGCATTTTTATGAATTAATTAATAGATCTGGACAAAAAAATATTGAGCATCATGTCATTGAACCGGCAAACAATTTACAAAACCATCAGCCTTATAAACTATTTCCATCTTGTCTCTCATTTCCAAGCCAGGTGTGACTGATTAATAAGCTACAAACAGATGTTTCCAAAGACCCCGATTATCTCCTGGCTTGTAAACTACTGTATTCCACCCACTCGAAAAGACACCTGCATAGTGCATGACTGAGAGGGAGTTATTGTGTGCTATGGAGTAACGTAGCTCATGGAATGAAGAAGTCTAAGCTCCGTTTTATCTTGATACATGATCATGTGAAATTAATTTCCCAACTGGACCACACACTATTACACTCATTTCAACAGTCAACATGTAATGGAAAAGGATATGCCAGACAGACAATATATAGTCCAGACTGACTTTTTTCCCTATGGAGGGATTCAAAGGCTCCAGTATGGGGGATGAAGGTTTTATTTTCAACTGTTAATGCTACTCTCTTCCAAAAGAAACACTCTTGTGGAGAACCAGATATGAAGATGGACAGTGAGACACAGCATCAGCTAACATCATTACAGAGGAACATCATGTTCAAGCATTTAAAAATTGAACAGACATATCTAGCTTCAAAATCTGATCTCATTAGACCAGTGCTGTTATTGTTAACTAACACTAAAACTATGATGAAATAAAGCTGAAATAATATAAATATCAGTTGAAAAACTTTCTAAATATTAGAATTAATAAAATATTAAAATGACTAAAACTTACACTGAAATAAAAAATAAAGCTAAATGCTAAATACTAAAAAAATAAACTAAAGCTAAATACTAAGAACTACTAAAATGACAAAAGCACAAAACAAAATTACTACCATTTAAACTACTGTAAACTGAAAATATAAATATAAAAAAACTTTCAAAATATGAAATATAAATACTACCTAAATACTAATACTAATCATATATATATATTATATAATAAAATAGCACTGCATTTAACAAGTTGTTCAGTTCTTTTGCTATATAAGAATACTTGAAGAATACAAAACTGCTAATGCTGCAAAAATAAAATTAACAAGAGAAAGCGTATAATCATGAGGATCAATCACGTTTAGGCTTCACAAAGAGGAAAACATTCTGACAAGTCTCACATTAAATATGAATAAATTTTACATTAAATGGTATTGCCTATTAAGCTACTTAGTACTTTAGGTGTTATGGTCATTAGAAATAAAATGGTCATTAGAGAAAATCAGTGACTTATTCTTTGTGGAAACAACTGCATTTCTTACACTTAACCTTGCTAAAAACAATCTCAAGATACATTTGTTTCTAGAGAAATACATATTAAATCCCTGGGCCCAAAAAAAAGAATCAAGATCTTCTAAAGATCAATATTTTGATCTCAGATAAGCAGCATCAGCCCCCTCTGGCAGCATTTCGTAATTAAAGTGAGGGTTTGTGTCTTGCCTTTGACTGCCCCATTACTCAACAGAACAGAAACCAACAAAGAGGAGAGACATATAATATCAAGGTCATTCAACACACCGACAAGCAGGACTTTAAAATGCACTGGACCAAGCTTTAACCATAAAGAAAGTGGTATACAATTATTATGGAGTACAAAGCTTGCTTTTAATGCATTACATGATACATTAAAACTATTAGAGGATGCACGACTTGTTAAGAGTCTCTTGCATGCATGGAAAATAAATACTTTTTATCATGCATATTGCAGAGGGCCTCAATGATAAGACAAAGCTCAAATGTGTTTTATAGCTTCTCTGGCCATAGAGCAAAATCCTGTGGCTGAGATCTTTGGTTTGACTTCGGTGTGTTTTCTTTCTCTCCGTTCCCAGGACTATTCCTGGACATGCACTCAACAGTTTTCTTGTTTGACCACATTAAGCAAAGTTGGGCAACAATTTGGCAAACCAAAAATATCAAAGGCCTATGCAATGCGATCATGGCTGTGTTTTCAATATATCAGGCTCTTTTTAAGAAGAAGGGGATCCCATTAATACCCTGACTAACAACTTGTCATCAGGAAAGCATCGTGGATTCGTGGCAATGCCGTTTAAAGGGCGTTATATGAGGACACACCTCCACATTTGGGCCACGAGCGCATCAGTGATCCGACATTTACACCAACTGCTACTTTAATGATACAGTACGGACCTTTATATTCCATGTATTTACGTACAGAATCACACGCACTTCAGACGACATCTCGGTTGTGCTGAAATATGTACACTAAAATATATACACTCAAATTCTTTGTCTACGAACATCATTTGTAATAATTAATCAGAAGGTCTGCCCAGGGCATCACAGCACTGCAGGGAGTGGCAAGGTTATTACGTAGCCGTTCCTCCCTGCCAAATAATATACTTTTATGCTTAAATGCAGCTTATAATACCCAAACGCAAGAAGAGAAAAACATCCTCTGACTAAAAGATAGCGCACAATAATTTCAGGAAATCAGCCTCTTACCTCCGCTCAGTGCGTTATCAGCTCAGCACCATCGGTTGGCTCCTCCCACTGAGCGGCTGAGGCCGCGCAAGCTCTCGCGGCTCCTCCCACTGCTGTAAAACGTCGCCTATTTGCGTGTCTTTTTGAGCGTTTTTCTGGACTCTGTGGTCCGAGATTCACCGCATGACGTTGGCGAGGAGATCCCCTTGAACCTCGAGGTTCCCTCCTCTGCACACCGGCGGCGCCTGCTGCTTGAGAGGTTGTAATGGCCTTCGGGAGACTGCAGTGATCTGAATCCGTGGCCTGACAACGATTTCTGCCTCTGAAAACAACAGCAAAAGGCTTAACCTTTTACTTCGTTTAAGAATTGTATTTTATCTTTATTATTCATTCACATACCTATATTATTTAAATAAATGTTTCTATTTCGTTTTTTTTGTTCTTTCTCTTTACTGGTTTACTCGAATATTTATATAGGCTATAAAGTATTGCCTAATTATATAGGCCTATGTTACTGATTCCAAATTACATGACAAACATTGTAGTTAGTAACGTAATCCATTACATTACACATTTACGGTAAACAGACTACTTTTTGATTACTTAGATTACTTTTGACCTAACTTGTTTATCACATTATATATATATATATATATATATATACAGTATAGTTGTTATGTCTGTGTAGTAATTTAGCAAAATATTAATGTGCAAATAAATAAAATTGTCATTCTGAGACTTGAGCACCCATAATAGCAAATTTTCATATAATGGTACTATATTATTACACTATATATCCTAAGTATAATTAACATTAATAACATTAATAATAATTTGGACGACGGCTTTGTATTACGGACTGTATAATAGACATTTGCAACGGCACGAATAGTATAGAAAGAAAATATTACGATATTGATTGTTGTTGTATAATATGATATAATATAAAATATAATGTAATATAATATAATAGCCTATAATGTTGTCATAGTATAAGCAATAATTATTCATAGTTATTGCGCCCACAACAATAAATCAAATGCGGTACAAAATGAATTGAAATCCCCATAAATCTAACTGTAGATGTTCCTTTATTTTAGCTTTAATATCGGACAACAATTCCATAAAAAGAGAAATGTAAAAATAGAGCAACAACGTCCCCGGAAATGCGTAAGTGAGGAAACGGATATACGCAACGTAGCGGAAGAAAATGTATACAATGGCAATTTGGAAATCAATTAAGTTATGAAAAAAGAGCATTAATTGCCTTTCTTTGTGGTCGATGTGTTCTGGGATGGCGGACTGAGAGCAGTAGCGCCCCGTCAGACGCCGCTGTTTTGCCTCGACGGGAACCGTTATTTGACGCGTCAGGCAGAAAGAGCAGGTATATTTGTGACATCTGCTGAGCTTGACAATATAGCTAGAGTTGAGTGCTTAGATTTGTGTGCTACATATCGACTGAATAAACACACAGGCTGGGCGGCCGTGCAGTTCAGTACGTGTACTAACGCTACATGAACACAGACATGCATTCTGTCGCACTACGAGATTAATATATCTTTTATTTAGTTTACTGTAAATGACGCAAGTCTTATTTATCTTATATGCCACTGTAAGATTAGCACGTTAGCTCCCAGATGCGCCATGTATCTGTTAAATGGGTTGTGCTAACGTGTATGCCAGTAACGTGTGTTATTTCAGTGCTTTTAAAGGATACTTTGGAGAATGAGTTGATTGTTTTCGAGGGAATCCAGAGGAGGTTGCAAATAAAAAGGCTAACTGGAAGATGCCAAGAAGAAAACAACAGAATCCACAACCAGTCAAGTGTAAGCTGCTTTTTCATTTAATATCGTCATTTAAATGATTTGAATGGTCTTCATTCCTCTCACATGCGTTTAGTTTTTGTTGATGTTTACTAATTCAGAGAAAAATCATGGAAACTGGTCACGTGGTCTTGTTTTATATTAAAACTGTCATGTGCTCTTGGATTTGAACCACTTACACTTGGACATGTCTGTCCAAAATCATCTGAATATTAGCTGTCATTTAACAGACTCTTCTGTTACAGAAATAGAAGGGACACACCGACTGGTTGGTTATAACCAACCAGTCGGTGTGTCCCAGCTATTAGCTATTAGAGTATAGAGTAATCAATTTGTATGGACAGAAACATAATAATTGCACTGCAGTCTGTTGACTTGATTTTGAATTGTGATTTCAGGTGTCAAACAAGCTGACTGGTAGATTCTTCTGATGATTTTATATGCTGTGTATCCAGTGTCCTTTATTTAAAAGGTTGTAATGTGACTAACAAAAGTAGGAGTTATTTCTGTGTTTGTGTCAGATTACGAAGAAAAGCTGAATTTTGTTGGTAATTCATTTTAATATTCAGCAATTTTAAGATTTTCAGTTGAATGTGGTAAATAACTGTCATGGTAACTGAATGAATAATATTTTACGTGCTGTAAACATAGCCTGCTTCAAAAGTATTGGTTGTGTCATTGTTTCTGCTTTCTTTTTAAAAAGTTGTGATTATTTTCAGTCTCGTCCAGCAGATGGCAGTAAAATTACAGTAAAGCCAGAGCCTGTTACTGGCCAAGTCGATGCTGCTAGATCGGCTGTTTCTTTAACTTATTTTTCCTTTTTTGTTATATGAAAATCACATTAAAACTGTCTTGGGAAAAAATGTACTTTGCCTTCTTTGTTTATTTTTACAGTTTCTTTTCAGATATGTACAAAGCTGTTTTTTTTTTACCCTTGTAAATCTTAAAATATGAAAATCCATAATAAAAATATATATATTTTTTAAGTTATGATAATTAAAACTCACAGTTGTGGTGTCATTTCTACCGTGACTAGCAATTTTGCCACTCGTAAAGATAAATTATAAAATAGTTGAGATGAAATATGGGACGTGATGTGTGAAGAAAAAAAAAATCACAAATTACGTTATTTTATGTCAACATAAATTATTGTATTTCCAGTCAAGCTGTAATTTTGTCATACGTAAAATATTGTGTGAAAATATTATTTAACTGGAATCAGTTGTTTTATTCAGAAAGTGTTTTAAAAATATCCCTTCATGATACATAAATTGTGACTTGGTGGAAATGACAGATAAAATAGATCATAATTATAATTATTCAAAAATTCCACATGGCACAGTTCTATGATTGTTTTGTGTTTTGAGAGTTATATTTATTTTAATTAGTGATTAGCCCAATTGTTAACTGTTACAAATGAACATAATCCCACAAGATGGTGTGCAATTTACTGTAAGTCTTATTGTTTGTATAATAAATGTAAGATTCAGCGTGACTTAAAAAGCTTACAGCTGCTGTAGGGGTTTCACATGGGTTTAGTACACATTTTTACATCCTTTTATCTATATATATAATCTATATATAGTTGTTTTTGAATGCCATTGCTGCTGTATTTGATTATGATCCTTTGCTTTCAGTGGATTCTGAAGATGGTTTAGGCACTGTGCGTCCAGCAAGCCTTACCTTTGAGAGCGACTTTCTCCTGGGACAAGAACTCGAGTTTTCAGATCCTGACAATGACAGCAAGATCATAGGCCTTGAAAAGTTCTCAGGTGAGTTACATGAGTTTCTAAACCTAACTTTGGTAGGGAATATTAAAGGGTTTAGACCAGGGGTGTCAAACTCAATTCCTGGAGGGCCGGAGCCCTGCAGAGTTTAGATTCAACCCTAATTAAACACACCTGATACAACTAATCAAGTCCTTCAGGCTTATTTGAAAACTACATGGTATGTGTATTGGAGCAGGGTTGGAACAAAACTCTGCAGGGCTCCGGCCCTCCAGGAACTGAGTTTGACACCCCTGGTTTAGACTGTCATGGAAAATCCAGAAATACTGAGGAATTTACTTACTTGACAGTAACTTTTATATGATGGCTACTGCTAAATCTTGAGGATTTTAAACATATGCTTTAGTTTGCTGTATTGCTGGCATTCGTGAGGGGCCATATGTGCTCAATATGGGACATTAACTTCGAAGACTGACTTGTAATATTAGTGCTATTACGCAAACGTGCTGCATTTTGTCTGTCGGCAAGCAGTGTGATCTTTCATGTACAGATGGGAGAAGTGAGCCTACCGTTCTGGAAAATTTCTCTGGTTTTGGCATTCTGACAGAACATACCATTTCAAAATGGCAAATCAGGAAAAAATACAGTGTGCCACCACTATTATATAAAGGTCATCAAGACAGTCATCACCATCAAGGACACATTATAATAAGGCATTTAGTCATCATCATCATCTCCTCTCAGGGTCTTTGTCATAGTTCTCATCATCATCATCATCATCATCATCATCTCCCCCTCCACATCATCATCATCATCAGCAGGACCATTATAGTCATCATCATTATCATTAGGCTGGGTAATCATCTACCTGGGGTTTCTGAAATGGGCAATATAAAGGCCCGTTCAGACTTCAGACTCACACATTTCTACACATTGCATGTGCATCAGGAGCTTGCAGAAGGAAAACGACGTTTAATGGAAAGACAGTGAGCAGAAACACTGTAGAATTGTGTTTTGTTGGAGTACCACCTTTTATTTGTTGCTATCAGAATTTACTTAATGTTTGTCCACTGGCTTAGTGGGTAAGTATAAATGCCAAATGTTTTTCCTATAACTTCAGCTGTTGAGATTTTGTGCAAAATTTGTACTCTCATTGTGTTTTTTGAAAATGATAGATGCATACAATCTTGCATAAGAGGTTTACCTTTTATGTGTGTGCTTTTGTCTTTAGTAACTTGTAATAGTAAGATATTAACCCCTTAACTGTCACTCACATTTTTGAACATAGATGTGAAAGTGCACTATCCAAACTTAAATTTTTATAATTCATGAATGAAAACATTTTGTACCATGATTTTGATTGACCATTTTCATGGTAATGCAATGTCTGATTTTAAAATGGTTTTCAAAGGATGAATTTTGAGATTTTAAGTTTTCAATTGATATATAATTTCTGATGATTTCTAAAGTGTGATCGAGAAAAAGGCAACGAAGAAGACTTTTTGTGACAAAGGTCAGAACTCCTGTTTTGATGTAGATTTTTGAGGTGCACTCTTGTCATAAATTAATCTATTACTTTTCCTACATAATTTTTTAACAAAAAACTGTGGTAAAATATATATTTAGGAGACTTAGACACTTTCCAATGATATAAAGGTTGTCATGATAAGATTAGGATTTAATTGTAATACGGTGAAGTAAACTTAGGCGTCCCAGAGGGGACGGGTGACAGTTAATGTTACCATCAACTTTACATATTACAGACACTGAAATAGTGTCCTTTTATCAGCCCTAAATTGTTGAAATTTCTGTTGAATGCTTGCACACTATCTCAGATTGCAGAAAATATATCTATTCAGCTGCATAATGTAATGCAGTGTCTTGCTGTGGTCCTGTACAGCTGACATCAGTTTGCCTGGCTTCCCCCTGGGAGACGAGGAGAGCTCCCCCTTCAGCCGCCTCAGTATGGAGAGTGACGCTGACGACCTGCGTGCGACCGAAAGCGAGCGTGAAGAGAGGGTTTCTGAGTCTGCCTTTCCCTCTTACCTCTCTTGCAGGGGCTGTGGTCAGCTCCTGGAAGACCCCCTGGGACCAGGCATGGACTTGGTGGGGCTCTTCTGCATGCGCTGCTGCAAAGGAAATGTGGATGGTGTTGCAGACAGGAAGCTCTGCTCGGGCTTAGGCTTACAAGCGGAGTCTAGAGGGGGAGGGAATGAGGGCGATGCTGGCGAGGATGGTTCCCTGAAGCTCCACTCATGCACGCTCTGTGGTTTCTCATCGCGCTACACCAACCACATTAAGAGACACATGAAGACACACAATGGCGAAAAGCCGTACGGGTGTCCACTGTGCTCCTATGCATCGGCACAACTAGTGAACCTGCAAAGGCACTTGCGCATACACACAGGGGAAAAGCCCTATAAGTGCAACCACTGCACGTTTGCATGCAGTTCCTTAGGGAACCTGAAGAGGCACCAGCGCATGCATGCAGCTGTAAGCCCGGGTCAGAGTGTCCCTCAGCCAGTAAGTGGCAATGGTTTAAATCACACCACCGCAAGTCAGAAGGAAAAGAAAGCGGCTCCTGTCCCCTCTGAAGGTAAGTAAGGTTCTGCTTTGTGCCCTGAAAGAATGTCGAAAAGAGAGTTTTACAAAGAGTTGTAATTCAGAATCCTTCAGTTGCAGGTGCTGTGCAGTCTGCCTTGCGACCCCACGTGGGAAGGGATGGGAACTACTTGCACACCCTTGATGGCCTGAGGCTTCCACAGCAGTCATCGGCAGGGGTGTTGCAGTCAGGACAGGCTGCTTCTGAACCTGCCACTCTACCCCCCATATTCTTCCCCTTCACTTGTCGGCTGTGCGGCATGGCCCTGGATGACGAGGATGGATCCTCGGCCCAGATATGTGCAAAGTGCACCTTGGAAATGCTAACTAAGGACACACCCGGATGCCCCGCTGAGCGAGGGGACAAAGTCTACACCTGTGCTGCCTGCCCCTTCCTCACCCACTACCCGAACCACCTGGCCCGCCACATGAAGACCCACAGTGGAGAGAAGCCATACAAGTGCCCGCAGTGCAACTACGCCTCCGCCCACTTCGACAACCTCAAGCGGCACCATCGAGTACACACCGGCGAGAAACCCTACAAGTGCCACCTGTGTGACTATGCCTGCGGCAACCTGGCTAATCTCAAGAGGCACCAGCGGGTGCATTCAGGTGCCAAACCCTTTCAGTGCGCCATCTGCAACTACAGCTGCAACCAGAGTATGAATCTGAAGCGGCACATGTTGCGCCACACGGGTGAGAAGCCCCATAAGTGCCAAGAGTGTGGCTACACCACTGGCCACTGGGACAACTACAAACGACATCAGAAGAAGCACAGCCTGACTACAGGTGGCTGGGTTAAAGTGCAGATGCCTGGAAATGAGGAAGAGTTGGAGGACGAGGAAGACGAAGAGGTGTAGCCTCTTATTGCAAGACAGTCGTCCATATGAGATTTTACTGTTACAGCATAAGTTTTGTTGGTTGTTCTTCTTTTTCTTTGTGCCAAGAGTTATTTTGAAAGTCATTATTTTAGACTCTTGGAATTATCCTCAAGCTGCTACATGAAGTCATGCACAAATTAAAAGACAGTTACCTGAATGTCCTAATGCACGGTTTGTCCAGTCTTGCTCCTGAAGGGCCGACCTTCCTTCAGACTCTAAATAAACACACCTGAAACGTCTAATCAAGGACTTTAGGATTACTTGAAACTTCCTGCCAGGTTTGTGAGAGATGGTTGGCGCTAAACTCTGCAGGAAGGTGGTCCTCCTGGAGCAGGTTTGGACAATCCTGATTAATGCCTTTGAACAAGGCAGTTTGTGTTTCCCAAAGCTCTCTAAGAGCATTCTGAGCCTGATTGTGGTTCATTTATCAGTGCCAAACAGACACTACTGCACCACTGCCATAGGAAGTACTTCTTTAAGCCTGGAGCTACATTGCATGCACTTAAGTTTACCTTGGTTGGCTTTTTTGAGGTTTTATGTGATTGATCATTTGTCCGTCAAACATCTTCTCAAGCCTACTGATGAAAATGTCTTCACGAATGAGCATTATGCTGTGATCTTTGATCATCTTGTTTTTGCTCTCAATAGTTTTGAGGGGTTGTGTTGCCTTTTATTGTGTATCTTCTTGAACGTGAAAAATGCCATTTGTCTGAGTTTACTTGAAGCAAAAATGGTGCATAGTGGGTATTTGTGTCATGCTGAACATAGAGCTTTTATTTTTGTATGTGATTTTATTTTTTATCTCCGAGGAATGTTTGGCATGTATTTGCCACCCATGGCATCATTAGCTATACTGAAAAACAACAGTAACCGTAAACCCTAATATGCAGTTAAACCTTCAGGTTGCCAAAAACGTCTGAACATTGATGCTTGAGTGTTTTGTTATTATGCAGTGGTTTCATTAATGCCTTAAATATCCTCAAATAAAAGAGTTTGTGTCGAAACTTCCTTGTCTCAATTTCTTTGCCATCTTTCAGTCACAAAACTGCTCAGAAGTAAGTTACTCATAGACCAGCAGGATATGATTAAGATGCTGAGACAGGCAGTGTGTAATCCTCACACTTCCATAATAAGAGCTGTAAACCTCCCCGCTCTCTGCTGCGAACAGTTCCGGTAAACATGCTAATGAAGACAGAGCCCCGGGCTTCACCAGAGCACTAACAACTCTTGCAGTGATCTTCATGCTGTTAGATTGTGAGAATGAGTTTTAGATCATTTTTTCTGAAGTGTCAGAGCCAGTTTTGAGACAAAAGCTTGCATTAAAAAGACATTTGACAATCTGATCTTTGCATGATGATTCAAATTGTAGGAAGTCAAAAAGCTACATTTCATGCTAATGGTGTTTTTTAGCCAGGACCTTCAGTGATAGGTTTACTGAGTGGGTTACTTGCATAGGAGCAATTGTGTCTACAGACAGTCCCCATATGCTGAAATACCTATCATGCTTGTGTTATTAAACCAAAAAACAGAAAACAACACGGAGTAGCATTGTTTGGCACCTAGATTTATTGAAACCCAGAAGGCTCTAACTTCCATTCTTGGATTTAAAATTAAGTGAGAATTTGAAAAATCATACTGATTTATGAGAGATGTACAGGGTTTAAGATTCCAGACGGTTTACCCTTTTCATTCTAGATGATGCTGGTGAACATACTTAACATGGCAATCACAAATTACAGTCATGAACTCAAAAATAATAATCAGCCATACAGCACAAAGACATGAGAACAACCTTTGCATTAAACATAATTTGCATATGGGAGGAATTATATATATATGTCCAGGATGACGAATATGGGAATATCATTCAGTATGACTATCATTGCAGTTTAAATCCCAGCATAAATGTGAAATACAGCCATTTCCCAAGCACCATGTGATCGCAGTCCTCTGAGATGATTGCCACAATGTATTTAGTAAAACACTAAATGGATTATATGTATATAATAAAAAGAGAAATGAAAGACTGGAATGATATTCTTCAAAACAAAATATATAAAGTGTACTAAGACAATAACTGAAATGTAGTTGTGAAATTTGTAAACTTGTTTTTCAACAATTTTCTATAATTTTGTAAACACTGATAAATGTTAGTTTCTAATCTTTTTTTATTATTATTATTTTTTTTTTTTACACAGCCTGGATTATATTTGATCAACTGTAATTGTTTGTAATATACTAAGATAATACAGATATTAGTAAATATTCAGAATACTTTTTAAATTGCATGTACATTTATAAAAGTGACATTACCATGATTTTTGTGCAAAATGCTTTAGTGAACTATAATTTTGGCATTTACGAGAAACATTTTTAATATATTGGTTTGAATAATAGAACACAAACAACAAACACAGACCTACAAACCTCTTGCGAATGTTCCAGGATGTTTTCCCACAGTTAATATCTCAATAAATACCCAAGCCATCTACCTTTCTTAATACTGTGCAAAAAAGACATGAGTTCAGCTAGTGCAAGCAGGCCTGCCGAACACCCCAAAACGAAGCGAGATTTCAGGACACAGCTGAGGCCAGAATGAGAGAAGGTTTTTACCAAACTTGTGCCCGGCGCTACATTTAAATGTGAGAAGTTAAACTGTAAGGTGTCTGAATCAGCATAAGGCAGAGAGAAAGCAGGCCACAATAAAGAGGGTAATTTAAATTCTGAACTTGTATTTTCATCTAGGATATGCAATGAATATGCAGTAGGTGTCAGGTCGAGTTTACCTCTCCTGAAGAAAACGGCAAGCTGCAGAGATCTACCACGCCATTGGTCATATTGTCGCTACCATGCAGCAAAAGGTTAAGCAACATTGGCACACTGGACAATACAAAGCACATATCTATTAAATAATATTCTCAACTGATTTTAAAAGGAACATGATTTGCTGGTATGAATCTTACGCTAGTAGGCAACTACAGCATTGAGGAGCCAAGAGAAAATGATAACAGGTAACAGGAATTTTGTGTCTGCCAGATGATGACATATGAGAGGAAAAGCACAGTTTTGTGTCTCTAGTAAGGAAGTACGATTCAAATAAAGTCCGTCTTCAGAAGAAACTTTCATCACAGACTAAATTAACATCTCTCTTGAATGTAGTAACTTGCCCTGAGGTGCCTATGTAACCCTCTATTAATTTAACCACTGAAATGGTCTCCAATTATGCCTCAAATCTAAAATTATCCTATTTTTGTTACTTTAAATGAGCGAGCATTGACTCTGAGGCCTCTCATAAAACTAATGAGAGACTTGAGTCAAAATTATGTACGACAGGCTAATTTTGAGACCCTTGATGTGACTTTTTCAGAAAGGCATTACGATACTGCAGAACTAGTAAACTACACTCAGCGCAGAGAAACCGCTAAACAAATCTGCCTCCTTTAGTCCAGTTTTTGAAGACGGCTCCATCACAGGTCATCGTCCCCTATTCCTTCAAAGGCGTAGTTTCCATGGAATTCATTGCCACTGATGTCACTGGCTGAGTTGGAAGAACTAAGTCCTCTCAGGGAGACAGAAGACAGCTTGGTCTGTGGAAATAAAAAATAAACAGAACAGCATAAACTAATTTACTGTTAGTTACTGTTAACTAAAACTAATTGAAATACAGCTGAAATAAAATAAAATATAAATATTAGATGGAAAAAAAACAAAAAAATGGTGCCTTGGATGTAAAGTAAGTTTAAACTGAAGTACTAAAATTACTGAAACTGTAATAAAAATAAAGCTAAACTTAACTACAATTAGAACCAACACTAAAAATGTGAGAATAAAAGCTAATTTAAAATAGTAAATACTATAATGGTGTGTAAATAATATTAAAATAACACTGGTACAAAACAGGATATTTCAATTGTAAGTTGATTATAAGGAAATGAAAAACATTGACAACTCACAGAGAGTTTCACTACTTGTTCACGGCTGGGATCAGGGGAATCCTGAAAAACAGTCATGCATATCATAGATCAACAATGGTACTGTACATCTTTCCATATCAAAAGTAGAGGTGTTCTGTATTAGCAAAAACCTCTATGCCCACTAGTAATGGAGGAGACTTCACAGTTTGCTGACTGTCAGACCGCTGGAACGTGCCGTTCAGTCGCTTCTTCTGCATCTGCTGGGAGCACATTATAATCACAAACAAATTGACCACATTTATTTTCATAAAACACATTCGCAAACTTATTGCGCATGACTCATCGATGTAAATTATTCCAGAGAAAAATATTTGTCTTCATACAAATATTCCTTTTCACTCGGTTGTCGCTAATTCTGTTACATCGCGACTTTAGGGAAATATAAATTGGGGTTTGAATACACTTTCATGTTGACTTAAAAGTGAGCTCAAGTCTCTCTAGGAAACAAAGACGATTTAACGGACATTTAACAACAGATTATCCCGATAGGGTTCATCATGCCAAACCCACACTCTTAAAAATAAAGGTGCTTCACGATGCCATAGAAGAACCTTTTTGTCTAAATGGTTCCATAAAGAACCTTTAATATCTGAAGAAACTTTCTGTTTCACAAAAGGTTCTTTGTGGTGAAAAAAGGTTCTTCAGATTACAAAAAGGTAAGAAAGAGGTGGTTCTTTAAAGAACCACCTCTTTCTTACCTTTTTGTAATCTGAAGAACCTTTTTTCACCACAAAGAACCTTTTGTGAAACAGAAAGTTTCTTCAGATATTAAAGGTTCTTTATGGAACCATTTAGACAAAAAGGTTCTTCTATGGCATCGCTGTGAAGAACCTTTTGAAGCACCTTTATTTTTAAGAGTGCATGGGGCAAAAATGAATTAAAGGAGACATATTATGCCCCTTTTACAATATGTAATATAAGTCTCTGGTGTCCCCAGAATGTGTCTGTAAATTTTCAGTTCAAAATACACCACAGATCATTTATTATATCATTTTGAAAATGCCTATTTTGAGTGGAAGCAGAAAGAGGCTGTTTTTCATGCCTGTCTCTTTAAATGCTGGGAAATAAATCGCTTGTTTATTTTAGATCTGTGTGGCAGCAGCAATATACAGTAAATAAATCAATAAATGCACTGCTCTCTTGTCTCCTCTGAGGCTGGGTCTCTAAATAGTGTTCTGTGCTCGTCTGAGCAGACAAAGACAGAACAGTTAGCATGTTTTGCTCAAACTTTCGCCATGGCATTAGAGCTGGTACACCGTTGTCCCCTGTGAAATCAAAATGATGGCGCCATGAGTGGAAGTTTACAGATTAAGGGGCGGTAATATTATAATGAGATCCCTTTTGCCACGTCACCAAGGGAGCGAAATCAGACGCGCTCGTTTTCTCAGAAGCTTGCAGAAAAAGGCTTATCAAAACAAAGTCACTGGGTTAATCTTTTTCACGTTTCCTTGGTTGGTAGATGCACCGGGGACCTGATTATAGCACTTAAAACCTGGAAAAGTCAGATTTTCATGATATGTCACCTTTAAGACTCAAATGCTTAAATGAAGCAAACACAGATACATCCACCAACTGAAAGACATTTCAGAAACTCCACAGATATTTGGCAGGTCTTTACGAGAAGACAAACATAGACCTACTGACCTTTTTAATGCTTCCGCCAGATTTCTTCACCATCAGCTCATCAACCATAGACTGCAGACAGATACTCATCATGATAGCCTGGGGAAAAACAAAAAACCTTAGTCCAGTCACTCTCAGACAGTTATTTTTTATTATTATTTATTGACGGATATTTAATTGTTAATGCTCATTCGCTATTTTTACCTTTGCCGTCATCTAAGCTCACTTAAAGTTAATCTTTAAAAACACTAATAACTTGATAACATTTGAAATCTTCAGCAAATCTCAAAATGAATGCCTGAAATAGCTTCGCATTTAAAAATGTATTTTTATTTTAAGCATTTTATTTTCCATTTATTTAGACAAAATAGTATAGAATTTCAAAATCTGCGACTGACTCTGTGCTGACCTGTGGACTTGTGATGGTGACCCACTGCAGACGGTCTTTGCTCATCAAATACTCGAAGGCCAGCTCTAGTTTCACGTCACATTTACTGGAACTGCTAGGGTTTGCGGTACCGTTCGCCACAGGCACCTGCTGTAGAATTAGGCCAGGTCGTCACAAATACGATCATCATAATCATTGCTGTTTGTGTCTTGGCAATTACAGAGGCCATTTCTAAACTCCTCTACATAGCAAATAACTTCAAAGCTCAATTAGTCATCATTAGCTCTGCTCTAAATGTCATCGTCCTCATAATCACATAGCATCACCAGCACAACACACAAAAGTGTCTCATTAGAATGGTCTCAGAAGACACAAAACAGACAACTTCTTTACACACACACAGGAAACTTGTCAGTTCCATTAGAGAGACATGGCTATACAGTCCCAGCATCCTCACCGTCAGGTCCTGGTCTGAAGAGGACAGCCGTTCTGATCTCATTAGTAACACAACTCTGCTTTTCCAGGGCAAAGACCAAGCCAAGACCACTGCAGAGTGGAGCAGAGACAACTTCCTCTGGCTAATGAAATGCCAGAACGTGCATTAAACTGTTTGTATTGGACCAAACTGAAAATATTCAAAGCCTTTTCACATTCCCACAAGAAGTCGTTTAGATATTGACACGTTTGTTCGTTAATCTACTGTTTAAAAACACGGGACAGAGTAAAAAATACTTAATACTGTTAGATATAGAATGAAGATTTAGATTGTCTTCATTTTGTTTCCTAATTCTGGTATAATAAAATGGATGCAGAAAACCATGAAGGCATTAATTTAGTCGATTCTCATGAAATAAATATGAATGGATAGATGGATGAGTGTCTGGTAGCTGATAGTTATAAGCGAGCACAGTCTATTTTCCTGCAGAAAGTGGCTTTTTTGTTCATCCCCGTTTCAACTTCCCATTTTCTGAAATAGACCAACCAGACATGCCTGAAGAGACAGTCATAGAAAGAACTTGGAGAAAAGGGTTGTCTGGAGGCACAAAAGGAAGTTTTCCTACATCCTTATTGTAAAACGTAGTACATTTCATTTGGAAAAAGAAGGCTTTTTTGTTAAGTCTTTTAAAAGCCTTATTTCACTGAACACTGAATCCATTTTTCATACTGTACATTATGCATTTAAAACAACTAATTAATATTTTTAGCATTTTATTTTTTATTTATTTAGACAAAATATTATAGAATTTCAGTTTTTTTTTCTACAGTCTTACTGTAAGAAGTAGTACAGAAAGAAAGAAAAAGAAGGTCTTTTTAAAGTCACATTTTTGCCTTTATTTCACTTAATCTATTTATCATAATGTACATTATAATGTTGTGGTGCCTAAAATCGCTTTTAGAATAGATTTTTATTTCTGACATTTAAAATAGCAAAATAACATAGAATTTCAGTGTTTTACATTCTTACAGCAAAAATAGACATTACATTTTTTTTTAGCATGTTTGCCTTTATTTCACAACAATTTAAAGTAAAGCTTTTTATAGAGATTTGACGATTACAGGCTAAAATAATGTTGTCGTTAAGTTATTTTAGGGCTGTGCAATATATCAAAATGATCGAAATATCGCAAATGTACATATCGCAATATGCATATCGCTACAGCTTGCAATATTTGGGGCCATGAACAAAAGACAAAGAGAAAATCACTCACTGCTCTTACCTAAATAACTTTTGTAGTTTAAATAAGAATCAGTGCATATTAAATTCAAAGAGTAAATACTAAGCAGTGTTTTATTTTTCCTTTTTATTATTCAGTTCCTAAACTCATGTTAAAATGATTACACTAATGTTAAAATGACATTTTTATGTAATGATCGAGTAAAACACATACTGTTCACTTTCAGAAGTTGTTGTAGGGGTGCTTTCTTATTAGAATCAGAATCAGAATGAGCTTTATTCACCACTTAAGTGTGCGCAAACACAAGGAATTTGTTGTTGTTTTACAGGAACTCTTGGTACATACATACATACAAATAACCATATATATATGACACAAGATAGTTATAGAAGTTCACAGAACTGACTCCGCAACAGCTGAGTAAAACGGTTTCATCTGAGCATGTGGCACTTTAAGCATTATTCGTATCGCATATCGAATATCGCATTATTTAATGAGTTATCGCATATCGCATTTTTCTTCAATATCGCACAGCCCTAAGTTATTTCTAAAATACTGATAAAAAATTTATAATAATAATAAAAAAAAAACTTTCCTGTTTAATTTAAGCAACTGTCTAAAATACAAGTGGTGTGGTTTTTTTCTTCTAAAATGTGACCTCATTTGACAACTATTCAGTATTTTAGGAATTAACTCAGGAACTGCTAAATGACAAGCTTTTTTGGATTTCAGGTCAAATGCAGGCAGTCAGACTCTGCAAGAAACTTGAAATATCTAATGATGACAACAACATACTAAATAGTACCAGGTGTTTTCAACCTTAAGCTGGTTGCACACAGTACAATTTTTGGTATGATTTTGCTAAATGTGTGTTTGCATTTACCATTGTTTGGCAAAATCAAGTATTTTCAGTAGGAATCCACTTGATCAGGAGTTCCCCACGCAGATTTTGCTTGTGTTGGTCAAACAAATTTGCGACGTTGACCAACAGAATCTGTCTGCTTGGTTTAAAAGTGAATTCTGCATGAGCTGTGCTTCATACATCGCTATGCTATCAACAATGGACCTTTCTGCCTGCAAAATTGCAATATTGTAAAATACTTTTTTTTTTATTAATCAAACTTACAGATGAGGTGACCCGCCAGCATCTCATGCGTGTGACTTTGAAGCTGCCCTCTTTCATCTGATCATTGGGCAATTTGACATGAAAGTTGAGTTCATTGTTGCCGGCACCGACTATAACATGACAGCCCTTCTCTGGAAAATCTGTGATGCATGGATCAAACTTTATATAGCCGTAGTACTTCAGTGTCTGAGCCAATCTGATGAACTGTGGGACAAAATATAGTTAGACACAGATGATTATCTAACAGACACAAATGACTGGACTATCGAGGCTTCAACATAATACATTCAGGTCTGAGAATGGACTTCAGCTTTTATAGAAGCAGTCGTTTTCTTTCCAGCTCATAGACACTAGGGAGATCAAATAACGTGTGTGGCGGAGCCCAGCCATACCTCCTTCTTTGAGCCTTTCTCCTGCAGGGATTTCAGCTGTCTGTGCTGCTCTTTGTTCACGAGGATCCATCCCCGCTCAATGTCAGACACCGTCTGAGTGGAAGAAGGAGGGGAAAACTGTTTTTCTCACTCTGAAATTGACTAAATATTTTTTTAAGATTTATGCAGGTTTTCCATAATAAAACCTTCAATATGCAGTCAGGGTTAATTTAGTTGTTATTTCTAGTTTTTTAGTTTAGTTTTCAATGTTAATTTTTAGTTCTAGTTCCAGGTTATTTAATATTAGTGGTGATTTAATTTTATTTGTTAATGCATTTGGTATCATGAGCTAACAATTAACAGTTTTTTTTTTTCATATTAATCTTGATTTATGTGAATTTATAAACTTACTGTTGTTCATTGTTAATTTATGTTAGTTTATCATAAAATCATTTTATTTTACTACTTGAAATGTTACACATATACAGTGGTGTGAAAAAGTGTTGGCCCCCTTCCTGTTTTTTTTATTTTTTTGCATGTTTGTCACACTTAAAAGATTCAGATCATCAAACAAATTTTAATATTACACAAAGATAATGCAAGTAAATACAAAATGCAGTTTTTAAATGATTATTTATTTTATTAAGGGAAAAAAGCTGTCCAAACCTGCCTGGCCCTACGTGAAAAAGTAATTTTCTAATCTAATTACTGGTTGTACCACGCTTTGCAGCAACAACTGCAATCAAGTGTTTGCGACAACTGGCAATGAGTTATTGTTGAATCATGAACACTGACCTTAATTGAGGCAAGTGAGGCCTGCAGTTCTTTAGATGTTGTTCTGGGTTCTTTTATGACCTCTTGGATGAGTCGTCGTTGTGCTCTTGGAGTAATTTTGGTTGGCCGGCAACTCCTGGGAAGGTTCACCATTGTTCCAAGTTTTCTCAATTTGTGGATAATGGCTCTGACCATGGTTCGCTGGAGTCCCAAAGCCTTAGAAATGGCTTTATAATCCTTTCCAGACTGATACATGTCAACTGTTTTGATTCTCATCTGTTCTTGAATTTCTTTAGATCGCGATCATAATGTGTTGCCCTTTAAGCATCCTTCACTTCGTCAGACAGGTTCTATTTAAGTGATTTCTTGATTCAACAGGTCTGGCATTAATCAGGCCTGGGTGTGGCTAGTGAAATTTAACTCAGCTTTCTAAAATAATGTGGTTAATTGCAGTTCTTTCATGATTTAACAGGAGGGGGCAATTAATTTTTCACGTAGGGCCACGTAGGTTTGGACAGCTTTTTTCCTTTAATAAATGAAATCATCATTTAAAAACTGCATTTTGTATTTACTTGCATTATCTTTGTGTAATATTTAAATTTGTTTGATGATCTGAAACATTAAAGTGTGACAAACATGCAAAAAAATAAGAAATCAGGAAGGGGGCCAACACTTTTTCACACCACTGTATATAATTGACATGATCTAAAATGCTAGTTCATGAAACCTAATGCATTAACTACGGTTAACGAATGGAGCACTATTGTAATTATTTACAGTTTTACTTTAAATTTGAACAGTATTTTATGGTTGTTAATATGCAATAAAGTTGAAACTAACATCATATTGAAATGTTTAATGGACTTTACATTTCTCGACATTCTAGAATTATTGTTATTCAGTAAATTACTTAAATGCAGTTTTTTTTTTACAATATATCATGTATCAAAATATTAAACTATTTTTGGTCATTATTTTTTATTTTATTTTAGTTAGTTTTGGAGTCATGAAAATGTATTAGTTTTAATTTCTTTAGGACAACTTTTCTGTGCGATGGACACATACACAGAGTATCCTTTAAACTAGGAGACTTTTACCTGAGCATATAACAAGTTGAGTCCCACGCGGTCGTCCATAACATCACTGTCGTATGCTGTGTCCCAGTAGCTAAAAATAGAGCAAGAGACAATAATGATAAGTTATACAAAGGGAAATACTAAAATTTACCTTCTTCATCACATCCATTTTCTGATGGATCATCTAAAACCATTAAGCACTAAAGCGAATTAAAATCATGTGCACTGCATAATCATATAATTTCTGTACACACGCCTGAGAAACTAAGAAGACGGCAGCTTACCAATAGTCTAGAAGAATTTTAATTAGGGATGCACGATATTGGATTTTTGCAGATATCCGATATGCTGATATTTTTTCAACTCTTTTTGGCCGATAGTCAATACAGATATATTTCCTTTTGTTTGGAAACAACACCAAGTCTCTCCTGTGTGGAAATTATAAGCAAATTATTTTTAATTTTGGTTAATTTTAACAATAACTTATTTGTTAGAATTAAATAAACAATAATGAAGTTCTTTTACAATAACAGTACATTAAGGCTTTGAAAATACCTATAAACTATATATCAATCGCTGCATTTTTTTTTCTCAGAAAGATGCAGTAGTAACCTTACCATTTTAATTTAAGAATTAACATTTATAGATGGTTTAAAGCAAAAGAGATGTAAAAATTCTGAAATCTTTTAGAGCTCATAATTTGTTTAAAAAATATAACATATACACCACTGTATATAATTGACATGATCTAAAATGCTAGTTCATGAAACCTAATGCATTAACTACGGTTAACGAATGGAGCACTATTGTAATTATTTACAGTTTTACTTTAAATTTGAACAGTATTTTATGGTTGTTAATATGCAATAAAGTTGAAACTAACATCATATTGAAATGTTTAATGGACTTTACATTTCTCGACATTCTAGAATTATTGTTATTCAGTAAATTACTTAAATGCAGTTTTTTTTTTACAATATATCATGTATCAAAATATTAAACTATTTTTGGTCATTATTTTTTATTTTATTTTAGTTAGTTTTGGAGTCATGAAAATGTATTAGTTTTAATTTCTTTAGGACAACTTTTCTGTGCGATGGACACATACACAGAGTATCCTTTAAACTAGGAGACTTTTACCTGAGCATATAACAAGTTGAGTCCCACGCGGTCGTCCATAACATCACTGTCGTATGCTGTGTCCCAGTAGCTAAAAATAGAGCAAGAGACAATAATGATAAGTTATACAAAGGGAAATACTAAAATTTACCTTCTTCATCACATCCATTTTCTGATGGATCATCTAAAACCATTAAGCACTAAAGCGAATTAAAATCATGTGCACTGCATAATCATATAATTTCTGTACACACGCCTGAGAAACTAAGAAGACGGCAGCTTACCAATAGTCTAGAAGAATTTTAATTAGGGATGCACGATATTGGATTTTTGCAGATATCCGATATGCTGATATTTTTTCAACTCTTTTTGGCCGATAGTCAATACAGATATATTTCCTTTTGTTTGGAAACAACACCAAGTCTCTCCTGTGTGGAAATTATAAGCAAATTATTTTTAATTTTGGTTAATTTTAACAATAACTTATTTGTTAGAATTAAATAAACAATAATGAAGTTCTTTTACAATAACAGTACATTAAGGCTTTGAAAATACCTATAAACTATATATCAATCGCTGCATTTTTTTTTCTCAGAAAGATGCAGTAGTAACCTTACCATTTTAATTTAAGAATTAACATTTATAGATGGTTTAAAGCAAAAGAGATGTAAAAATTCTGAAATCTTTTAGAGCTCATAATTTGTTTAAAAAATATAACATATTACACATTAATGAATAAATCAGTACATATAAAATTATTTAATTTACAAGTGTCATGTTTGTGATTTTTTTTTTATTAATGTAAGCTATTGCTTCTGACCTTTAAATCAAAACATACTCATGATTTTATGACATCAATTACTGCTTTATTTAATCAGAAACACAGTCTAAATATTATTTGTGTATTGTACTTTCATTTTATTAAAAGTAGGCCAACAGCGCCCCCTACGGAAGTAAAACTCTTTACTGAGCAGGCATTAGGACCTGGGGGAGGCTGCCGCTGCTGCACGTGCTATTACTGTTTACACTATCATACACCGAACCTGTCATTCTGTACTTGCTTTCTCAGTTTAAATGCAGCGATCCAAAAGAGTGAATCTAATCATCATTCAGGCTAAACTTTGCTTCAAAAATGAGTCACACTGCTGACATGATCTAATCGCTAGCACACCCTGAGCACGTGAGTTAACCTATTCCTCTTATCAGCAAGACATATATCGGCATAATTTTTCATATCGGGCCGATGCCGATATTTACATTTAAAGCCATTATCGGCCGATTCCGATATTGGTCCGATAATATCGTGCATCCCTAATATTAATTAAATCTTCCATTAAGTTTAACTTGGCGAAAAGCACAGTTCTGTCCTGTAAAGCTTCTCTCTATAGCTACACAGCAATACTAGCGTATAAGTTACTGAAAAAATGCTACTGCAGTGAATGTCTCCATTTGCCTAGAGGCAAACGACAATCTGGCAAATGAGCAATCTTCAGCTCAATGGCCATCCTTACCATCCATATGTCAAAAACTATTCTCATCACGCCGTGGGCAGAACGAGGTCTGATAAATAAGTTTTAGCAGTCTGCAAGAGCACAAAGATGCAATCTTGCATGACAATAGATATTGTTCACATAGCAGCCAAAACTGGATATCCGTTAAATCTCATTTGAAAGCTTTTAGCGGTTTATGCTGGAACATTTTTAAACTATACATGACAGGCAGCGAAAAGAAAAAAGGCATGGGAGCATGTTTTGTGAAATTTGTGTGTACTGAAATGTGTAAAATGTACAAACCCGATTCCAAAAAAGTTGGGACACTGTACAAATTGTGAATAAAAACAGAATGCAATGATGTGGAAGTTTCAAATTTCAATATTTTATTCAGAATACAACATAGATGACATATCAAATGTTTAAACTGAGAAAATGTATCATTTTAAGGGAAAAATAAGTTGATTTTAAATTTCATGGCATCAACACATCTCAAAAAAGTTGGGACAAGGCCATGTTTACCACTGTGTGGCATCCCCTCTTCTTTTTATAACAGTCTGCAAACGTCTGGGGACTGAGGAGACAAGTTGCTCAAGTTTAGGAATAGGAATGTTGTCCCATTCTTGTCTAATACAGGCTTCTAGTTGCTCAACTGTCTTAGGTCTTCTTTGTCGCATCTTCCTCTTTATGATGCGCCAAATGTTTTCTATGGGTGAAAGATCTGGACTGCAGGCTGGCCATTTCAGTACCCGGATCCTTCTTCTACGCAGCCATGATGTTGTAATTGATGCAGTATGTGGTCTGGCATTGTCATGTTGGAAAATGCAAGGTCTTCCCTGAAAGAGACGACGTCTGGATGGGAGCATATGTTGTTCTAGAACTTGGATATACCTTTCAGCATTGATGGTGCCTTTCCAGATGTGTAAGCTGCCCATGCCACACGCACTCATGCAACCCCATACCATCAGAGATGCAGGCTTCTGAACTGAGCGCTGATAACAACTTGGGTTGTCCTTGTCCTCTTTAGTCCGGATGACATGGCGTCCCAGTTTTCCAAAAAGAACTTCAAATTTTGATTCGTCTGACCACAGAACAGTTTTCCACTTTGCCACAGTCCATTTTAAATGAGCCTTGGCCCAGAGAAAACGCCTGCGCTTCTGGATCATGTTTAGATATGGCTTCTTTTTTGACCTATAGAGTTTTAGCCGGCAACGGCGAATGGCACGGTGGATTGTGTTCACCGACAATGTTTTCTGGAAGTATTCCTGAGCCCATGTTGTGATTTCCATTACAGTAGCATTCCTGTATGTGATGCAGTGCCGTCTAAGGGCCCGAAGATCACGGGCATCCAGTATGGTTTTCCGGCCTTGACCCTTACGCACAGAGATTGTTCCAGATTCTCTGAATCTTTGGATGATATTATGCACTGTAGATGATGATAACTTCAAACTCTTTGCAATTTTTCTCTGAGAAACTCCTTTCTGATAATGCTCCACTATTTTTCGCCGCAGCATTGGGGGAATTGGTGATCCTCTGCCCATCTTGACTTCTGAGAGACACTGCCACTCTGAGAGGCTCTTTTTATACCCAATCATGTTGCCAATTGACCTAATAAGTTGCAAATTGGTCCTCCAGCTGTTCCTTATATGTACATTTAACTTTTCCGGCCTCTTATTGCTACCTGTCCCAACTTTTTTGGAATGTGTAGCTCTCATGAAATCCAAAATGAGCCAATATTTGGCATGACATTTCAAAATGTCTCACTTTCAACATTTGATATGTTATCTATATTCTATTGTGAATAAAATATAAGTTTATGAGATTTGTAAATTATTCCATTCCTTTTTTACTCACAATTTGTACAGTGTCCCAACTTTTTTGGAATCGGGTTTGTACGTGAAATGTGTAAAAAGTGTGTGAAATGTACACTAAAGTCTCTTACACTCACCAAGGCTGCATTTATTTGACCAAAAATACAGTAAATTGGTAATATCAAGAAATATTACTACAACTTAAAATAACTTTTCTATTTTAATATAAAAAAAATATTTAAAAAATAAGTAATGTTGAACAACAGTAGTGTATCTTTTCACAGTAAAAACAAAATGTACAAATGCTGTGTTTTTCATGTATCTCTTGCGCTTTTTTGCCCTTTCCTGCCTGTCAGCAGCCAATCAGAGCAGCCAGAACTATATTCCATTCCTGATGTAGTGAACAGGTGGGATCTGGCTGAAGGCTGTCTGTAGTCTCCTTTAACAAGGAGCCTTCAAGGGGCCTGCGGGTTCTCCTGAGGGGACTAATAAGAAAAACACGCCAGCATCTTGTGCACCTTTTTCAACAGTATATGATGACGAGGTGTGAGAATTAGCGGGAAGGATGTATAAAGTGGGTGAAAGGTGAAACATTTTTAGCAAAATAATCTTTGCTAAGCTGTGCTAATGTGCTAAAAAAGGGAAATTGATATTCACGTAACACCTTCACACCTGCTTCCAATGCACATGGTGAAACACATGGTGTTTCAATGCCCTTGCTGGAGATTTTACATAAATAATCTCCCGTTTCTCGCTAATTATTTCATTACATAAACCTCACACTCCAAAGGGCATTTGGTGTTTCAATGCCCTTGCTGGAGATTTTACATAAATAATCTCCCCTGTTTCTCGCTAATTATTCCATTACATAAACCTCACACTCCAAAGGGCATTTGATGAATTCTGCTGTTAATAAACCACTAGCATCAACATTTACACTCTTTATGTGCACTTTTCTGGGAATAAATAATGAAGTTTGTATTGCTTTAACCACTTCAGAGATTCTGTAAAGCACAGCACTTCAGAGACCGTTTGAGTTATAAAAGAGATGTCTAAATACAGCTGTCTTCAAGTTCAAAAAGTCTAAAGTGCAAATATGAAAACTACTGCTGCACAGAACCACAGGATCAGACCGCTGAGGTAACGATCATACCCACGTCTACAACAGGAAGGGAAAAAGTGCCTCTCTAGTCATTTAAACAGAGTGAAGATGGAGCCTTGTGGGCCACCTCTTCCTAAAGCAAATATCCATGAGTTGAATAGCCCTTCGAGAGCTATTTGTTAAAACATCTCACCATTTAAGTTACACTTTGGGTAGCACTCATGAAGTTTCTGAGAAACAATTTTAAACTGGAAATCTGGTGAGTTTAAGCTATTAAGGGATAGTTCAACAAAAGAACAATAACTATAAAGATAACCATTTTAGCATCCTGACAAGCATGCTCTGCAATTATGTCGTCTGCCAAGTTCTCTAAAGCAGGGTGAATTCTGATTGGCTGTCAATGTTTTTGCCATTCATCAACTGGAAAAAAAATTGTTTTGAAAGTGTATCCAAAGATATCGTTCCTCCGTGCCCTTATCATCTTGGCCGTTATTTCCCATATAATAAAAGTAAGTGATAACTGCAGCTGTCAAGCACAAATATGACAAAAAAGCACCATAGATGTAACAAGAATGTGGTCTATATGACTTGGTAGGATATATTCCAACTTTGTGTGAATAAAAGACCAAAATGTATTCAAGAGCTCTTCCTGATGCATTAATTAAAGTTCATATCTTCTTAATGATTCAGTTCATAAAACTGGTCTGAATGGTTCATTCATGAATCAGAGCTTTTCGGTTTTGGTCTGTTCTTCTCAGTATGTCTTTCATATGGTTTCCGTTGACCAGGGGTGTCAAACTCAGTTCCTGGAGGGCCGGAGCCCTGCAGAGTTTTGTTCCAACCCTGCTCCAATACACATACCATGTAGTTTTCAAATAGGCCTGAAGGACTTGATAAGTTACATCAGGTGTGTTTAATAGGGTTGAATCTAAACTCTGCAGGGCTCCGGCCCTCCAGGAATTTAGTTTGACACCCCTGCCATAGACTTTA